CGCCCAGGGAGGTACTACCGTCCTGCCAAGTGAGTGTAAAACGAAATCCTGTAATTGTTTTACATGATGGTAGGATTGCTGGTGTGCTTTTTTCTGTCTCGTGAAAATGCAAGATTTCAGGTACGTCTTGCTACTCCTACTTACACTTAGGTCACACTACACATACATGTACAAGCATATATATACACACCCCTCTGGGTTTTTTTCTATTTTCTTTCTAGTTATTGTTCTTGTTTATTTCCTCTTATCTCCATGGGGAAGTGGAACAGAATTCTTCCTCCATAAGCCAAGTGTGTTGTAAGTGGCGACTAAAATGCCGGGAGCAAGGGGCTAGTAACCCCTTCTCCTGTATAAATTACTAAATTTTAAAAGAGAAACTTTCGTTTTTTCTTTTGGGCCACCCTGCCTCAGTGGGATACGGCCGGTACGTTGAAAAAAAAGAAGAAAAGTCTATATTAATGTAAAATAAGACATTTAATGTGCCCAAGAGTAATTTTATTATGATTATTATTCACTGAGTGAACGAGTAACACAGGCATGTTTATATGCCTTTGTTACTCATAATTTTGACAAAATTTTGAAGAAAATATCACATATTAACCTAAAATAAAACATTTAATGTGCCCAAGAGTGAGTCACGAATGTATGAGCGGCCCAGGCGCACATGTCTGGTACCAACAATTTCCAAGGGAATGGATGAAACCTGGGGGAAAATTTTCACTGAAAAAAAGTGCTCAAAATCCAAACTGTACGATTTCCACACCGGCAGAAAACTGGGGGTCCACTGTACTTGTGGTAACTAACGATGATATTATTATTATTATTAATCAATTGGCATGATCAAGTGTGTCAGACAGCTAATATTTCAGCTTGGGTATGCTAATGACACACACATAACATTGTATCAATCGCATCTGCTAGAAAAATGACAGGATGGATAATGAGAACCTTCAAAACTAGGGAGGCAAAGCCCATGATGACACTCTTCAGGTCACTTGTTCTATCTAGGCTGGAATATTGCTGCACACTAACAGCACCTTTCAAGGCAGGTGAAATTGCCGACCTAGAAAATGTACAGAGAACTTTCACGGCGCGCATAACGGAGATAAAACACCTCAATTACTGGGAGCGCTTGAGGTTCCTAAACCTGTATTCCCTGGAACGCAGGAGGGAGAGATACATGATTATATACACCTGGAAAATCCTAGAGGGACTAGTACCGAACTTGCACACGAAAATCACTCACTACGAAAGCAAAAGACTTGGCAGACGATGCACCATCCCCCAATGAAAAGCAGGGATGTCACTAGCACGTTAAGAGACCATACAATAAGTGTCAGGGGCCCGAGACTGTTCAACTGCCTCCCAGCACACATAAGGGGGATTACTAACAGACCCCTGGCAGTCTTCAAGCTGGCACTGGACAAGCACCTAAAGTCAGTTCCTGATCAGCCGGGCTGTGGCTCATACATTGGTTTGCGTGCAGCCAGCAGCAACAGCCTGGTTGATCAGGCTCTGATCCACCAGGAGGCCTGGTCACAGACCGGGCCGCGGGGGCGTTGACCCCCGAAACTCTCTCCAGGTAAACTCCAGGTAAACATATATACACTGCAATAGAGAAAAAAGAAGTCCCACTGGGGATCTTCATTGACTTACGTAAAGCTTTTGATACAGTTGACCATGACTTGCTCCACGTAAAATTGTCACACTATGGTATTAGAGGGCACTCCCTCAACTACCTCAAGTCTTACCTCAGCAACAGAAGCCAATATGTGTACGCAAATGGGGCAAGCTCTTCCGCACAACCAATTACAGTTGGTGTCCCACAGGGAAGTGTCCTTGGCCCTCTTCTCTTTCTCCTATACATAAATGACCTACCAAATGCTTCGCAATTACTCAAACCCACACTTTTTGCAGATGACACTACATACGTCTTCTCTCACCCGAGCCCAGTCACGCTAGCCAATACTGTAAACACCGAATTACAGAAAATATCTACCTGGATGAGGACTAACAAACTTACACTAAACATTGGCAAAACCTACTTCATTCAGTTTGGTAACAGAGCTACAGATGTACCTCTTAACATAACAATAAACGGATTCACCTATCACAAAGCTAACAGAGGGAAAATTCTAGGAATCCACCTCGATAATAGACTCAAATTTCATACACATATACAACAAATTTCTAAGAAAATTTCCAAGACTGTAGGCATACTATCGAAGACCCGGTACTATGTTCCACAGTCAGCCCTCCTGGCCCTTTATCACTCTCTTATTTACCCTATCTCACCTATGGAATTTGTGATGGGGCTCAACAACAATTAACCATCTCAGACCACTAATTACCCAACAAAAGGCTGCAGTTAGAATGATAACAAATTCTCACTACAGGCAACACACTCCACCAATATTCAAAACACTCAACCTACTCACCATACAAAAACATCCATACTTATTATTGCACTTATTACATACATAGAACACTTAACTCTAATATTAACCCTCCCCCCAAAATCTCCTTGCCAACCTCAACAGAACACATGGACCATAACACAAGGCACAGATCACTCTTTGATGTTCCTCGTGTCCATCTCACGCTATGCAAAAACTCAATGCACATAAAAGGCCCTAAAATCTGGGAATTCATTACCTGTAAATATAAAAGAAACACTACCTGTTTATAAATTCAAGTCTCTTCTCAAAGATCACTTACTCACTCAAAACCAAATAAATACTGAATAACTGAACCTTATAAATTGTATATCCTATATGTTACTCACAATTATATCACACAAATGTTAAACCTAGGACCCAATCTAACTTTATTATTTTTTTAAATACACTACCTAACAGAATACTCCATTCGACTGAATGTACAGCAATGCAAGCAACCATATGACCTGTCTTTGTAATACTCATTTGTGCTTTATAGTTATCTGTTTACAATAATGATTTATCACTGATTTCATCATTGCTTAGTTAATCTTAAGTTAATTTTAAGCCAGCCCGTAATGCTATGCATATAAGTGGCTTTGGCATGCTGCTCTTACCTGTATTTTTTGTACCTCTGTAAGTATGCTTAAATTACTAAATAAATAAATAAATAAATAAATAAATAAATAAATGGTACGTAATGAGGTATCACAGTGGGCACCTGTGATGAGCGGGGTCCCACAGGGGTCGGTCCTAGGACCAGTGCTATTTTTGGTATATGTGAACGACATGATGGAAGGGTTAGACTCAGAAGTGTCCCTGTTTGCAGATGATGTGAAGTTAATGAGGAGAATTGAATCTGATGAGGACCAGGCAGGACTTCAAAGAGACCTGGACAGACTGGACACCTGGTCCAGCAAATGGCTTCTCGAATTTAATCCTGCCAAATGCAAAGTCATGAAGATAGGGGAAGGGCACAGAAGACCACAGACAGAGTATAGGCTAGGTGGCCAAAGACTGCAAACCTCACTCAAGGAGAAAGATCTTGGGGTGAGTATAACACCGAGCATGTCTCCGGAAGCACACATCAATCAGATAACTGCTGCAGCATATGGGCGCCTGGCAAACCTGAGAACAGCATTCCGATACCTTAGTAAGGAATCGTTCAAGACACTGTACACCGTGTATGTCAGGCCCATACTGGAATATGCAGCACCTGTTTGGAACCCGCACTTGATAAAGCACGTCAAGAAACTAGAGAAAGTACAAAGGTTTGCGACAAGGTTAGTTCCAGAGCTAAGGGGAATGTCCTAAGTAAGTAAGTAAGTAAATAAGTAAGTAAGTAAGTAAATTTATTCAGGTATACACAAATACAGTTACATAGAATTATCATACATAGCAGCATATGTGTAGAGAACCTAGGATAACCCAAAAAAGTCAGACGGAGTGACTTATTTCCATTGGGGTCCTTTGCAGAAAGATTAAGGGAAATCGGCCTGACGACACTGGAGGACAGGAGGGTCAGGGGAGACATGATAACGACATATAAAATACTGCGTGGAATAGGCAAGGTGGGCAAAGACAGGATGTTCCAGGGAGGGGACACAGAAACAAGAGGCCACAATTGGAAGTTGAAGACACAAATGAGTCAGAGAGATATTAGGAAGTATTTCTTCAGTCATAGAGTAGTCAAGCCGTGGAATAGCCTAGAAAGTGAAGTAGTGGAGGCGGGAACCATACATAGTTTTAAGGCGAGGTATGATAAAGCTCATGGAGCAGGGAGAGAGAGGACCTAGTAGCAATCAGTGAAGAGGCGGGGCCAGGAGCTATGAATCGACCCCTGCAACCACAAATAGGTGAGTACAAATAGGTGAGTACACACACACACAACAGGCCTAGTGTCTAATCCTAAGACAAAATGGTAACTAACCTACGTCTGCTGCACCTCTCATGCCCACGATATATAAGCTACTTCTCGGCAGATATGCTGTATTCTATTCAAGATTGATGGACTGACCACATCGACTCAAGGTTGAGAGACTGATTACCTCATTCTCCTCCTGTTCTTCATGATTCTCCTTTGTATGGACTGATGAAGCCACTGTGTGGCGAAACGTTTCCTCAATAAAGATACCTAAGAGTTGCACATATGTCTAATTTATCAACGTGTCGGTTCTTTGAACCATTCATCTACAATGGACAAACACCTAGTCATTACCTGACCAATCGGGTTGTGGTTCGTACGTCGGTTTACGTGCGGCCAGCAGTAATAGCCTGGTTGATCAGGCCCTGATCCACCACGAGGCCTGGTCAACGGGGGCGTTGACCCCCTGAAACCCCCCTCCAGGTATACTCTAGGTAAAAAGGAACAAACACATTGGTAACCCTTCTTTCTAACATGCACATTTTTAGGGTGGAAATAAATATTTATAATTTATATTGTTATATCGAATAATATGATGGAGGGTTGGCAACCATGGGTCGGGCGTGTTGTCAGTGAGGAAAGGTTGGCAAGCTTGTGTGTCCAATATGGCGGAGTAGTGAGAGAAGGAGTGACTCAGATATTACTGCCCCATGATCACCTCCACCACACACACTTATAGGTCTGTACCTCTTGTCACTACCCTTAACCCAACACCAACCTATCCTACTACCCAAGAGCCACATTAACGACCTGCAGCAGAGACTTGTGTGCCTGGTAACTGGAGTTATGTATGTACTCGCTACCCACTAGTCTCACCTACGCTATATAACACAGTTTTTGACCTTAATATTTTAACATTTTTAGATGAAGTGATGAAAGTTACGACATGCCAGACCTTTCTTCAGTGCTTGGTGAACTGCACTCTTGTTTTATTACTCCGACAGTATTAGTTTTTAATGTAACATTTCATTGATGATTTTATTGATATTAATCCAGAGTATTAATAACCCAGGATAACCCAGTAAAGCCACTAAGTACCTTATACCCACTGACATTGTTGCTCTTTATTGTCCTAATACAGTGTCATGTAGGTTATTCCTGTTCATGGTTCAAGGACCTCAATGGAAATAAGTCACTTCGACGTTTTTTAAGGGAAGTTATCCTAGGTAATTTACACTATGTATGATAATTGTACTTATGTGTACCTGTTCCTAAATAAACTTACTTCTCTGCTCAAAAAATAAGACTATAAATCACCCAGAAAAATTGATTAGATTGATGCTGGAGCAGAGTCCAAGAAGTGTCTAGACGAAGATGATTTACAACAGCTAGATATGCTGAATGTTGCAGCTGGATTACACCAACTGAAATTAAATCATCATTATAAAATTGTTCACAAGCAGTGTCCAGAATATTATGGTGAGAATTTTGTCCAAGTTAGAAACCAATACCAGTATGGTACTACTGAGAGTGAACAGTATTTCGTAGGACCTACAGTATGTGATCAGGCCTCAAATACCTTTTATTATACAAAAATAAAGGAGTGGGATAGATTGCTTGAATATGTCGAGGCATTCATTCCTGAACTAGTTCAGGAATGAATGAAACTACATTAAGAACATAAGAACGAAGGAACACTGCAGAAGGCCTACTGGCCCATGCGAGGCAGGTCCAAGTCTCCTACCGGCTTAAGCCAATGCACCCAACCTAGTCAGATAGCTTGTGCTACCGACCTGGTAGCACAAGCTATCAGGTCTAACTCACACCCACCCACATCTACTCATGTATTTATCCAACCTATTATATACTCTACTCTTCTTATAACACTTTTGCTTTGTAAAAACTTCTCATAAGCTAACTTTTTCTCTTTTATCACACCCTTTACTTCATCATTCCACCAATTACTCCTCTTTCCTCCTGCACCCACCCTCCTATAACCACAAGCTTCTGCCCCACATTTTAATACTGCATTTTTAAAACTATTCCAACCCTCTTCAACCCCCCCACTACTCATACTTGCACCAGCCCACCTTTCTGCCAATAGTTGCTTATATCTCGCCCGAACTTCCTCCTCCCTTAGTTTATACACTTTCACTGAACTCCCTCTTGCTTCTTGTTGCCATTTTCCTCTTTTCCCATCTACCTCTTGCTCTAACTGTAGCTACAACTAAATAATGATCTATCAGTTGCCCCTCTATAAACATGTACATCCTGGAGCCTGCCCATCAACCTTTTATCCACCAATACATAATCTAACAAACTACTTTCATTACGTGCTATATCATACCTTGTATATTTATTTATCCTCTTCTTCATAAAATATGTATTACTTTTTACCAAACCTCTTTCTACACATAGCTCAATTAAAGGCTCCCCATTTTCATTTACCCCTGGCACCCCAAATTTACCCACTACTCCCTCCACAACATTTTTGCCCACTTTAGCATTGAAATCGCCAACCACCATTACTCTCACACTTGGTTCAAAACTCCCCATGCATTCACTCAACATTTCCCAAAATCTCTCTCCTGTACACTTCTCTTCTCCAGGTGAATGTACGCTTACTATAACCCACTTTTCATATCCAACCTTTATTTTACTCCACATAATCCTTGATTTAATTCATTTATAGTCCCTCTTTTCCTGCCATAACTTTTCCTTCAACATTATTGCTACTCCTCTTTAGGTCTAACTCTATTTGAAACCCCTGACCTAATCCCATTTATTCCTCTCCACTGAAACACTCCCACTCCCTTCAGCTTTGTTTCACTTAAAGCCAGGACATCCAGCGTCTTCTCTTTCATAACATCCACAATCATCTCTTTCTTATTTGCACAACATCCATGCACATTCAGACTTCCCACTTTGACAATTTTCTTCTTCTTATTCTTTTTAGTAATTATTACAGGAAAAGGGGTTACTAGCCCATTGTTCCTGGCATTTTAGTTGACTTTTACAACATGCATGGCTCATGGAGGACAGATTCTTATTCCACTTCCCCATGGATATAAAAGGAAAAGTAATAAGACCAAGAATTACTAAGATAAAATAAAAAAAAACTCAGATGAGTGTGTATAAATAAACATGTATGTGTAGTGTGACCTAAGTGTAAGTAGAAGTAGCAAGACATACCTGTAATCTTGCATATTTATGAAACAGACAAAAGACACCAGCAATCCTACCATCATGTAAAACAATTACAGGCTTTCGTTTGACACTCACTTGGCAGGACGGTAGTACCTCCCTGGGTGGTTGCTGTCTACCAACCTACTACCTATTTTGTGTTTATCACTGTAAATTACAGTGGACCCCCGGTTAACGATATTTTTTCATTCCAGAAGTATGTTCAGGTGCCAGTACTGACCGAATTTGTTCCCATATGGAATATTGTGAAGTAGATTAGTCCATTTCAGACCCCCAAACATGCACGTACAGACGCACTTACATAAATACACTTACATAATTGGTCGCATTGGGAGGTGACCGTTAAGCGGGGGTCCACTGTATTTTAATTATTTTATATTTTATGCTTTCATCTTTATAAGCATTTGGCTCCATAACTTTAGTCCATCAAGGTTATGGAAATAACAATCAGAAAATTTGCACAGCATGTTTTTCAACAAAACTGAAGGTTTAGACAGGATTAAAAAAAAAAAAAAACTTAGAAAATAAGGACCACTCAAATATTCACCGTATTTGCATGCATACAATACATAGTTGTCTCTACATATTTGTGGGCCTCCTTATTTGCAGATTTCAATTATCAGATTTTATTTATGGGCAACCAGCAAATGGGTTCAATTGTTTAGTGGTTGTCTGGCTCGATGGCTTTCCTGCTGAGAGTTGCTTCTATCTTGGTCATTATATTTTATGAATGTCAGTATTAACCAGATTAAAGTGATGTATTTAAAGATATGCTCTTTGAAACACAAAATAAAACTGCTTCTTAAAAAAATTGTTTAACAAGCTTAATTTTGTATTTTGTGATTTCTAGTGTTGTAGGACATGGAACAAAATCCCCTTCACCAAATCCATCTTGTTGAACAGTTCATAATTTTCTACTGATGGCCAAATATCTGGTGTAGGGATGACCGTATACTATTATAGTATGGTACATTTGTATGTGTATTTTTTTTTTTTTAATTTATATTTTGATCTCCTAAATATGGAGCTCAGTGAGGTGATCTTTGATATAGTAAAGCTTGTCATTTGGATTAGTAATAGCACTCCATTTAAAAATGTTAATTTAAAGAAAAAAAATGGTTCCACTTTGTTACTAAGTCTGAATTAATATGTATATGATGCATTTCAGGTAGCCATGGACACCTGTGGTGGGTGTGGGCCTAGTGATGGAGAAAGACTAGTGGACCTAGGTACAAAACATGATCTTGCATCTGCCACCAAGCTCTCTCAACCATCTACAGAGAAAGACAGGGCTAGAGCTTCAACAGATAAGTTAATTTCTGGTCAGTCCATCTATTCATCTTTTATAAGTATAGCATACTGTCTACATATGCTGTACTGCATATCTTTAATTATATACCATATATATACTTTAAGTTTACAAAATGTGAAGATTAGCTCATAGCTAGGCCCCTTTTTTTTTTCAAAAGCCTGATATGAGACAACCAGCATATTTATTTTTGAAACCTTGTATGCGAGTTATCTTCCACTGTCATTGTTTGGTTTATTCACTCTCCTTATCACGTTTTTATACTGGATTGTATCTTGTGGCTCATATGGAGAGAATATTTCAAGGAAATGCTAAAGATTGATTATTAACATTTTCATTGGCCATCATGTAGATGATCTGTGAATGGTAAATTTTGGCTTAGATATGAGAGAATGGGTCTGCGTGGTGAGTGTGCACATTATGAAGAAAAAAACCTTCCCCTAGTGGTGGATAATGGGAAAAGGAATACAGTAGTCCCCCCAAATTTGCGAAGGTTACGTTCCCAAGACCATTCATGAATTTGGAAAAACCGTGAATTCTGGATACGGTTAAAAAAATACCTATAAATGCCCATTTTTATAGTTTAAACCCTAAATATGCTCCCAAAACACTAATTTAATTTCAAACTCAGCTTCATACATCATCCATAAAAAAAAGAAAAAAAAAAGGAATGTAAAGATAAATTTTTATACAGTACTGTACTGCTATGTCTCCCTCACTGCTAGAATATAAAATACTGATGTTACCCCAATTTTTTTTTTTTTTAACAAGTTGGCCGTCTCCCACCGAGGCAGGGTGACCCAAAAAGAAAGAAAATCTCCAAAAAAGAAAATACGTACTTTCATCATCATTCAACACTTTCACCTCACTCACGCATAATCACTGTTACCCCAATATGTACTGTAATTCATGCAAGCCCATTTTTGGTATGCTGTAATTCATACAACCCTGTTTTCTTTGGTATACGTATGGTAAATATACGTACGCTTATAATTTAGTACTAAAAGTAAAGTTAAATGTACAGATATTCACCAGTAATGCATTAAAACACACAAAAAATTATATATATTGCCTTGAAAAAAGCCAAAAAGAAATTCCACGAATATGTGGGGACTTCCATGAACAATTGTTAGTTAGGTTCTAAGGAAAAATCTGCAAATTACTGAGCCTCGAATTCGGAACTGCAAATTTGTGGGGCGTCCACTGTATTCTGACTTTGTGTTTGATGTAAAATAGCGACTGAGTTGTTTTCTAGGATGAGATTTATGGCTTTATTGACAGTTGCTTGGTAACATTTGATAGAATGGAAAATGTGGTACTGAAATGGATGATTTTGATTGGTTTCAGGACTAGAAGTAGCTTGAAATTGGGCTCAAATTAGCAGAAATATTTGATATTTGTTGATTTTCCTGAGAATAGGTAAGGCCTCCTGCACTCCCACCTCCTAGTCTGTTTTATGGTTTTTTAATGGGTCTGATTCATTTATTGGGACTCTAAACCATGACTAATCATTCCTGGTTATATTGTATTATCCTTGAAATAAAATAAACTTGTCCATGATTATGAATTCAAAATGGAAGGCAAGTGTAGTAGAGGAGAGGCTTGGGGACATAATTAATGAACAGAAGAAATGTTGTTTTAGTGTCAAGAATAACTACACTTTATTTTCACTTCATTTTTAAATTATTTTTTAATTGTGTAAAATTGGCCAAATTACCAAATTCTATGCAGTTATAATAGTTAATGGGTGGTTTCTTGTGCTCAAATGATAGAAGAAGTTAAGAATTTTGTCAAATGGATCAGTAGAATTGACTTAAAATTTGACTCAAAGTCGGTGAAAGTGCTGATGCATAAATTGCCCTGAGACCGCAAACTTTGCTTCTACATAATTCCCAAACTTTTCCATACAATTCTGTATTTTTGGTATCATTACCTTCAGAAAAAGATTCTCTACCATTTCAGAAGATTTTTTTTTTTTCCTAAAGTGGACACTGGGAGCAGTTGTAACCCTTTAACTTTCATGACCATGATCTATGCATCTCCGTTAGTGCTCAAAATATTTTGAATTTTTTTAAAAGAGGTAATTTTCTGTGTGTAACAAGATATAAAGTGACAAAGTTTGCACTGGATGCTCATGATGACAACATGGAGTCCTGATGCTTTTGAAAATGTTTCATTTTGTTTTTAATTGTCATAGTTTTTATGGTATGATAATTATGCTTTATAGAAGATCTTTTGATATCATAGCCAATATTAGGTACAGAAATAGTAATCATATTGTCACAAACACACATGTACACACTGACAGGTGAATATGTACACCTGCCTCAGTCACATACTATTGTATACAAATACTATATACAAGTTATTTACAAGTCCTAACAATGTTTTTAGAAGTCCTGGCTTGTATGATACTCCATGAAGCCCTGAGTTATAGAAAGTGCCACCCCACATTGCTGACATGTGAATCATGTGTCCTGCTGTTTGGGTTGCCTAGTGGTGTGGGCACACACAGTACACCTTTTCTGAAAGTGCTTCTTTTTCTGGGCAGTTGGTAGCTGTAAGATGAAGTGGCAGTTAATGAGCATTCTCTCTGGTACAGTGACCTGAGGACAGGTCACCGTTGAGGGGCAGATGCGGTGTGACATTGTACATTTTTACACTTTGCATTATGACATTAAGGGTAAATTCTGCATATCGAGGTTGTTTCCCAGTCTTTATCATGTACATATTGAAGACAATGAGCATTGCAGTGTCTACAGAGTATAAAAATAATTTCGTGTACCACTTGTGACTCCTATGCACACAGTCAGCAAACCCTGTTTGCACGTTACACTTGTCGACTAGTTGCATATTGTTTGTATAGTTGACGACAGCATGTGGCTTTACATGGGTTCATTGGCGTGTGTGTTCACTTTGTCTACCTGTACCATCTTGTTTATGTGGATGGTTGACAGCAACATCATGTCCCATGATGCCACATTAGTGCCATGGTGTCCTTGGTATGAAATGCTTGCACTGCACTATCAGCACTGCTCCCATTGAATCTTGGCATATGTTTTCTATTTCTTCTCACTGTTCCACACATATCAGTATTCTTCACACGTAGGAAATCAGTGAGCACAGGGCTTGTATATCAGTTGTCTGTGAACACTGTATGACCCTTGCCAAGGTATGGTTCCATCATCTTCCAAACATCGCCAGAAATGCCCAACGTCCGCCTAGTATCGTCGAGTGTGTTTCTCCCAGTGTAGACAATAGCATCCAACACCATGCCAGTCTTACAGTCAACACACAAAAAGTTTTATACCAAAGCGATTACGTTTGCTTGGTATATATTGTTTGAACGACAGTCATCCCTTGGGCAGAATCAAGGACTCATCAACAGCAAGGTTCCTGAAGGGATAAAAGTAAGTACTGAGTTTTTGTTTCAGATACATAAACACTTCCTGGATTTTGTATAGTAGGTCATTTCTGTTGGGCCTATACCTGTCTGAGAAGTGCAGCATTCTTAGCAACAGTGTGAATCTGTTGCAGGGGAGGAGCTCAGGGAAGACTGGAGTATTGAGGAAGTAGTCTTTGGCTCAATACTGTGCTATACTGAGATTGTACATATGAGGCATAAGCATGACAGTGCCAAGAAATAAATACATTTTGCTCACAGTTGTTTCTTTCCACCTGCACAGCCATGATGATTCTGAAACTTCTGTGTTGTCCATTATGTAGCGGCAATAATTGTTCGTCTGGGTGATTGTCAGGTTCATGATGGGCTCGTCAGAGTATAGTTGGAAGAACTCTAACTTTGTGGAATCATTCATGATAGGACATGTTGAGAGGATGTCACTTCCACTGGCATCAAAATTGAAAGGATGTGCATGATGGATGTGTGGCATGGGCATGGTGGATGAGCAACAGGAGTGGAGGCAGCACATGGTGGAATGGGAGCTGGGCAGTCCTTTGTCTGCCCTGCCACTGCACCATGTGGCCCAGGCATCATACAAAACCATCCCCCTCCATCCTGCACATTCCCCTTCATGATAAATATCACTATCAGTGGCCGGGGTTTTCAAATGTGACCTCCCACGACCCTTGGGGATTGCATATGGCACACTGCCTGAATGTAGGCGATGATGCCTATAGGTATGCTTCACTGGGGAATAATGTATATCACTGTCGCTCGTAGGACCCTTTAAAGGCATAAAATTAATCTCGTCAGTGACAACTTTCACTATCGTCAACAAAACTGGAGGAAAATGTTAATTTTCCCTTACGTTGTAGCCTCCTGGCAGTAATGCTTGCCAGCCCCAAGGTGCTTGGCTGGTCTCATGTGGCCACACTCGCCACCCTGGGGGTGCTTGACTGAGGGTCTGGTGTGGCCATGCTGGCCATCCCAGATGTGGTGGGCTGAGGGTCATCTGGGTTAACAATATTTTCAGTACATTCTTGATCATTTAAGGCCACATTCATCTCAGGTCCACTAAACTCGGGTTCCATATCACTTTTCTCGAATAAGAATGTTGATATGATGGGGCACCAGTTTGTTTCAGTACCCTAGCTGGTGCTGAAATCAACTGGTGCTCCCATGTGGTACTCTGAGGTCCCTGATTTTTTTAATGTACTACGTACACCGAGTGTGCAGACCCATCCTCTCATGTCTAGACTTCTCAGACCTATAATGCCAAATTTGAAGGTAAGAAAAATAGTGCGTTGATCTGCGTGTGGAGCACTAGCAGGAATGTGTAGATCTGTGGTTTGACAGTTAAAGGGTTAATTTCAGGGGTCTGGACAGTGAAAGGGTTAAAGGAAGGCAGTGATTTCATGCACTGGACAAAGATAACGTCACTCTGAGGCCTATTTTAAGCCAATTTCATTGCTCAGTTTGTATCAATTTCACTAGTGTGTCATCTGCTCTTATCACTTGAATGCAAAAAATTGCATATTCAACTATAAGAACTACCATATAACATGCACGTAGGTCAGTAGTTTAGCCAGTTTTACACAAAATTTAACAAC